TGGCTCACTCTAGCTGAAGTGGAAGATCGGTGAGCTGGGCCCCAGTCAGTACTCACACATTCCCTTACCACGGGCCAGGCACGTGTCATGGCCATGCTTACACCTGTTTCATGGAACAGTGGTGACTATCACAGGAGCCTGCAGAGTCTGGGTAAAAGCAACATCATGGTAATGTATGTTCTTTCATACAGCAAAGGAAATCAAAATGAAAAGGCAACCTAAGGAATGGGGGAAAATATTGGCAAACCATATATATGGTAAGAGTTAATATCCAAAATATATAAGGAACTCATATAACTCAGTATAACCCGATCAGAAAAATGGACAAAGGACGGAACAGACATATTAGTACCAAGGTAGGCTATTAGCATGGGTGCGAACTGAGATGCTTATGTACAATATAAACACACCCTCTGATGATTTTAAGGGGCAAAATAGATGGTATAATCCGCCAGGGAAAATGCCTAAGCCAGGGGTGGTATTGGCTCATGAGGACCAAACCACTACCGTGTTGTTACTAAATGAACATTTACCAAAAGACACCAAAAGCAAAAGCAAAATAAACAGGTGGGACTACATCGAACCAAAAATCTGCGCAGCAAACCAGCAACAAAGTGAAAAGGCAACCTATGGAATGGGAGAAGATATCTGTAAATCACTGATCTGATGTGGGGCTAATATCCAAAGAACACAATTCAATATAAAAAAAAAAACATAATCCAATTAAAAAGTGGGCAGAGGAACTGAATAGATACTTTTCCAAAGAAGAATGGCCAACAGGTACATGAAAAGTATCACTAATCAGGAAAATGCAAATCAAAACCACAGTAAGATATCATTTCTCACCTGTTAGCATAGCTGTTATCAAAAAGACAGCAGGTAATAAGTGTTGGCAAGGATGTGGAGGAAAGGGAACTCTCATGAACCATTGGTGGGAATGTAAATTGGTGCAGCCACTATGGAAAACAGCATGGAAATTCCTTAAAAAAAAATAGAACTACCCTATGATCCAACAATATCACTTCTGGGTATAATAACCAAAGGAAGTAAGTATCCCGAAGAAATGTCTGCACTCCCATGTTCATCGCAGCATTATTCACAAAAGCCAAGTACAGCAACCACGTTAAGTGTCCATAGAGGGATGAATAAATGAAGAAAATGTGGTACCTATATGCACGATGGGATATTAGTCAACTGTAAAAAGAAGGACTTTCTGCCATTTGCAACAACATGGATGAACTTGGAGGACCTTATGGTAAGTGAAATAAAAGGCAAATGCCCTTTGATCTCACTTACGTGTAGAATCTTAAAAAGTCAAATTCATAGAGAGTAGAATGATGGTTATCAGAGACTGGGGGTGGGGGAAATGAGATATTGGTCAAAGGGTACAAACTTTCAGTTATAAAATGAGGAAGTTCTAGAGATCCAGTGCACAGCATGGTGTCTATAGTTAATAATACTGTATCGCATACTCGACGTTTGCTAAGTGAAGTGTTCTCACCACACACAGGCACACACACAAAATGGTAACTATGTGAAGTGATGAATATATTAACTTGATTATGGTAAGCATTTCCGAATATATACATGTATTAAATCATGTTATGCACCTTAATAAATGTATAATCTAAATATTTATGTCAGTCATGCCTCACTAAAGCTGAGGAAAAAAATAAAAGCCAAAAGAAAAAGAAAATGTATATTCCTGTCACTTCCCTCATTCTACACATATTTGAGGGCCTATCATGCTCCAGAAATGACGGGGAGTAGTAGACAACCTTTTTGAACTTCATTTTACTCGCCTGGAGAATGAACAATAATATGTACTTCACTGTTTCAAAACTTCAATGAAATGGATAGGATGTAAACAAGCTACTTAAAACATCAGCTCTAGGTCTGAGCATGCCGGGCATGCAGGACCCTGAGTGTCTGCCCTTGAATGATCTCACCTAGTTCCTGATAAGATTGAGCAGCACCGGCCCACGCTCGGTCCAGGGCACTGGATTGACCCCAGCTTGTTTTGTCTTCCCCAGAACTATCTGCCTGGCGTTCGGCACTCCCACCGGCGAGGGCAGAGAACACAATGGAAGCAGAAACGGCTTCTCCCAAAGCTCACTTGGTATTATCCGGGCTGCTTAGTTGAGGGAAGCAGAAGCCACTTGTGAATCTAGCGGTCCGCCGAACTCATGCGGTTTGCCTCTGGTCTTTCCACCCTGCCTCAACCACCATTACCTAAGGGCTGGTCAGCTGTCCTGTGTGTAGAGGGGAAGGGCAAAGATTGGTTTCTCTTCACCCCCGAAGAAACTTGTGCTCTGTTTCTTGCATTAAAGATACCGAGCCTTTCCCAGGAACCATCCGGGCTGGTTCTGCCCTGGTCCTTGGGAACAGTTTCCTTAAGAACGATTGCAGGGATCCTGCTTTTCTCCCTCCTACAGCTCACGAGCTCAGCACTAGTCCTTCACAAGCAGCCAAAGCTGGTCCTGACCTGATTAAGCAGAAAAGGAATTAATATATTAAAAGGACACTGGCAGGGCTAGAGAACTAGGCCTGACAGAGGTAAAGCTTCCAGAAACGCTGCCCAACATCATGCTGAGGAAGCCCGCCGACGACAAAGCTGCTGTCACCACAGAGCACTTGATGCTGTGGTCTGCGTGTCCCCTGCCCGGGACGGCCACTGTAACCACTGCGGTCACTGCTTGCTGCCTGGGGGACCCAGTCTCACAGCCGCACCTCACCCCCAGTCACAGGCTCCTGGTGCCACCTTCCCCGGTGACACTGATGCCTATGCAAGCTTTTTTCTTCATGTTTGCCACCTGCATCTCCCAAGTCCTGTCCTAGTACCCCTGACCCACGAACGCCACACCACAGGCTCCTAACACAAGTTTTCTAGCTTCCATCTGGGAAAAGCAGGACTCCTCAAGTGGGACATTTTCCACGCCTCAGGACACGTGTCCTAAAGAGACCCAAAGCGCGTGAGATGTCCACTTTGCACTCTCTCCACGGGCTGCCGTCCTCTTCCCAGTCACCTGGGGGGCCCCGGCCCCGGGGCCCTGTGTACAGGCTGGACCTGCGGCGTTTCTGCAGGGGCGTGAGCCGGGAGGGGCCCAGGGGAATTCAGATGGGCCCCTTTGGACAGCGAGCACCAGGCGATGCAGCCTAGGCCTGGGAACTCCAGAGTTCATTAGGGGAAGGGTGTGGGAGACCTTTGGGAGACCCCTTCTTAACCAGACTCCTGGAATGTTAGACCCGGGAAGGCCTCGGGGAGCATCTAGTGAGGATCACAAACTCAGATGCCTACAGGGAGGAGCCAGGCAGTTAATAAATGAGCATAGCAAGCTGAGCAAAGGACAATGCGGCGGGGGGGGGGGGGGGGGGCGGTGTCTGTGAAAATGCCATTTTAGGCAGTAAATTTTTAAAAAAATTTTACAAAGTGTGTAAATGTTGGTAAGAGAAGGCAGTTGACTGGACAGGTGGGATCTTTTCTGGGGTGATGGAAATGTTCTGCATCTTGTTTTGGGTGGTGGTTACTCTGCGTATACAATTAACAAACTTCGCCAGATAAATACTTAAGATCTGTGCATTTTATCCGGTAATAATTACACCTCAATTTTTTACTTGGGCAAATTAATACAGTATATCTATAAACCGATTTGGCTCTTAGGCGACCCATTTGCAAACTTGTTCCAATCCGACTCCTCTCTGTCACACAGGAGGAATCCGAGGCCCTGACGGGGAAAAGGGGCTTTCTCAAGGGCACAGACGTGGCTCCTCAGCCCGGGGCAGGGTGACTGCTGTGTGGTCCGGCGCGCTGCCTCTTACTGCGCAAACTCACTTCTCTGCTTTGGAACGGAGCCGGCGGGAGGCGGGGTAACACTGCCTTTGCGCCCGCGGTCCCCAGGGGCTGCGCAGACGTCTGCCTCGGCGTGGAGGCGAGCCGGTCACCTGGAGCCGAGGCGGAGAGGAGCCCAAGTGGATGGAGCGGCGGGGCTCCCGCGGCACCCGCCAGGCGCGCAGATAAATCACGGACGCAAACTGCGCTGACGTTGGGGACCGGCACTGAGTGCCAAGCGCCGGCGCGGACAGCCAAGTTCTGGGAAGAGGACTCTGATCCGGGCGAGGCGGCGGCGGTGCCGAGTGAAGCCCACCCGAGGGGGGCGGGGAGGGCAGGGAGCCTGCTCTCCGGGCGGGCGCCTCGGGCACTTACCGAAGTCTTCCCTGGCCAGCGCCCAGCCCGAGGAGGCACTGGCATCTCCGCTTTACAGGTGAGAGGAGCAAGGCTCTCCGCAGCTCCTCGGAGCTGCATGAGGATTGAGTTGGGGTTCCAAGCCCGGCTGTCTGACACCAAACCCTTGCTCCTTGCTCTCCTCTACCCAGCTCGAGTCGGTGTCTGCAGGAGTGACTCCAAGCCCATCACAAAGCACACGAGTTCCCAATTTCGGGGCAGGCCTTGCCCGCACGGCAGAGGGAAGCGGGGTGGGGGTGCGGGGTAGAGCGGGGAGCGAGGGGTGGGGGTGGGGAAATGCTGCGGCCGCTTCCCGGGCAGAGCGACCCGCCGGGACGTTCCGGGCGCACGGAGCCCGGCCCTCCGAGCCGGCGCCCGCACTGATTGGCGCTCGCGGTCGGCCTCCAGCTAGCTCACCTGCCCCTCCCAGCCAATCGGGGCCACCAGAATTGGGGCTGTCGCGGGGAGCTGGGGGAGATGCTGCCGGCTGGAGGCTGAGCCGCCCTCCCCGCGGAGTTCCCGCCCGGCCCGCCCCAACCGCGAGTCCCAGCCGCGAGCTGCGCGCCCCGCGTCCCCTCGGCGCCGCGCTCCCCGCCCCGCGCGCTTTCGGGCAGCGGGTCCCGGCCCGGGCAGCTCCGCGTCTCTGCGGGCTGGAACGCGCCCCGACGGCGCCTCCCCGCAGCCTTCCGCCGCGCGCCAGCCCTCGCCCGGAGCCCCGCGTCTGTGCCGGCCCCGGGGAGTGGGTGGGCCCGGCCCGGGGCAGCAGCGCCGAGGCAGGATGTTCACGTCCAAGTCCAACTCGGTGTCGCCCTCGCCGTCCCTGGAGCAGGCTGACTCGGACGCGCTGGACATCAGCACCAAAGTGCAGCTCTACGGTGTGCTGTGGAAGCGGCCGTTCGGGAGGCCGTCGGCCAAGTGGTCCCGGCGGTGAGTGCGCCTCCCGCGCCCGGTGAGGACCGCCTGGGGAGGGAGCCCAGGGCCTAAGAACCCCGTACCATCCTCTGTCTTACCGTCCTGGCTCTGACTTCCTTCGTGACCTTGGCCTTGCCCTATTTCACTTTACCGTGGCTCTCCCTGGAAGATGTGGATGTCAGCCGGGGCCGGGCTATCTTTTTCGGAGCGCTGGTCCAACTGGGGTGGTACCACTGGCCCGGGGGCGGTGGGGAAGTCTCTATGGATTGCATCTAAGTCCGAGTGGGGAGGTTAGGGTGTGGGCCGAAGAGGTCATGGCCCTGGTAAGCGCCATCTGTGTCAGACTGGGCCAGACTGCCGGGGAGAGAAGGATATCCAGCCAAAGATATCCTCCTGGGATCCCCGTGGACAATTCCAACATCTCCACAAGCCCCCCTCTCCCAGGCATCAAGGGTCGTGCTTAGAGGTGGGGAGGGGCGCTCCTGTGTCCTACCCCTCTCCCCCACTTCACCCTGTGCTAGCTCTGCCGGGGCGCTTCTGACTCAGGCCAGGAGAGGGAGGAAGGGTCAGGAAGGGTCTGTGCCCGCCCCTGGTGGAATAATGTTGGCAACCCCTCCAACTGTTCCTCGAACTAATTTTTAAGCCTTAAGGAAGTCTCCAGTGCTTCTGGCACAGAAGCCTCAGAGGAGACACTGAGCGGGGGTGGGGGGGGGGGAATGGATTGGCCCTGTCCCAGGGATTGATTTGTAGGAAGGGGTGCTGAACAGGGTCAGAGCAGCCCCAGCCCTGGCTTTCAGTGCCAGCTTCCCTGTCCCCAACTCAGAGGGGACTCCCCAGATGTCAGGCAGTAGCCATTTTACACTTATAAAGGGGCCCGGAAGGTACTGGAGGAAGGGGCTTCTTACTGGAGGAAGGTATTGAAGGAATGGCTCACAGCCCTGAACTTGCAGGAAGCTTCCTGTGCTGGCTGCAGGAGCAATGGATCATCTTCTGGACGGTTTCCACCCTCAAGCCAATCTCAGTTCTGAGATTTGCTATTAGAATGGTCGATAGAGCTCAGACCCTGACCCAGCCTCTCCCTGAAGGTGTGACCCTGCCAGGAAATGAGGAGTGTGTCTAAATGCTCTTTCCCATCCCGCTCTGAGTCTGTCCTGGAGCGGGGCCTCAGATACTTCCAGGACCACAGATCACAGAGATGTGGCAGTGGTGGGTTCTGATGTTCTATTTTGATGAATAATTTAATATTTCTACAAGACCATAGAACAAAAGGATCCATGGAGGGTGTTTCACGGTTTACGGAGCTGGTTCCACCTACCTTTGTTGGTTCTGCCAGGTTTCTCTCTGGGATTGAATGGGATATAGGTTTCTTGCATTCCTCCAAAATTAAACTTCTCTCTCATCCCCTAAATGGAGGCCTAGGGCAGCGTGGAAGGCATCTTGCGAGGGGCTTCCAGGGTTGTGCTGTCTAAGATGCAGTTCCTGAGGGCAGGAGGAGCCTGGTCTCTAGCAGGGCACCCTGGTGGTGGAGGGGAGTGGGAAGGCTGCTTGTAAATTCAAGTACCATTAGCACAGGGCCCCCACACCCCTCTCTTCTGCCTCAGCTGCTCCAGGCAGCCACTGCTCCCGCCCCACTGGGTCTGGCTGCTGTTCTTGGCCTGAGTCTGGGTCTTGTCCTCCGGGACTCTTCTTGCCAGCCACTTGCACCTGATCACATCCCTAGTAAATACTAGGGGCCTGTGAACCCCAGGGTCTATCTCCTAGTGCCCCTTACCTACAGTGGTGGGGCCCCGGGCCCCGTACCCACAGGTGATTTCAGGGCTGCGCGGTGTCAGGGGCAAAGGCACCCGACTCAAAGCACAATGGGGGAGCCAACAGAGGCTGGGAGGCTTTAGCTGCCCCCCACCCCATACTCTCCATCAGCAGCCCCCACAGCCACTCCAAAAACCATCCAATCTCATTCAGAACAGTGTGCACTCTGCAAATACAGCTTCAGGTCAAGTCCTCCAGCCTCCTTCTGAGGAGATTGTCACCTCTGTTCCCTTCTTTTATAGGAATTCTGGAGCTGCCACCTTACAAAGAGTCCCCCTTCCCTGGGGTTCAGGAAATAACTAACAGCCCACCCGCCATTTGGGGGTGGGGAAGGCATGATGCTAAGCTTAGCCCCCTCTTGCTTCCTGGCAGGGCCCCCTGGGCCCCAGTTCCCCATTTGTGAAATGGAGTCTGGACTTCAGCTAATTAGCGGCCACAGGAAGGCTTGGGGAGGGGGCAGCCTAGGCCCGCCATTGCAGAGCGTTGCCATTAGAGCGATCGATGCCCTGGCTGGGACAGCTGGGGGGGGGGTGGGGGCTGGAAAAGCTCCCATGCCACATCAATAACGGATGGGCAGGATGGAACCAGCAGTGGCCGGCTGGGTTCTATAAAACCTCTTCCACTCAGGACCCGTCTCAGGGCATGTGCCTCCAAACCATACCACCCAAGCAGCCCTGCCCCTTCCTGGGGTGGGAAGATGCCCTCGAGTGAAACAATCCGCTTTCTCCCCATGGGCGACCAAAATGGAAAGGAACCAAAACATTACTCAGAAGAGAGAAGAGAACCTGGGAGAGGTGTCTAGAGGGTAGGGTTGATGACTCAGTCCTCCCTCGTCCATGAGCAGTGGAGATGCAGAGGCTGTTGGCAAAGACCCAGCAGCCTAGAGACAAGGAGGAAAGGTGCCGAGAGCACCTCAGCCTCAGCCAGGGTCAGTTGCGGCAGGGCTGGTCCCGCAGGCAGGCCAGCTCTCCCAGGGTTCAATCCTCTCCCCAGCCTCTAGTCCCTCTCCCAGACCCTTCTGAACAAAGGCAGAGGCCGGAGCCCCTGATGAGGAGGGCCCAGCCAATTCCTGCAGCAGGGCCTTCTACCCTCCTCCTGGGCCCTCCTTCCCCCCATGTAAGCTGCCCAGTGGGGCCGTGCCTCAGGGAGCTAAGATTCAGTGTCCACTAAGTGCCAGGGGAACTGTGAGATGGTAGCCCCACTTCCCAGATCTCAGGGCATAACCTGCCCAGGTGTGGAAAGATCAATCTGTGGTCACCAGACCAAAAAGATCTTCAGAGACTTTCTTCCCACAGGATTTGGGTCTGGGAGTTTCATCTGTGGCCCCGAGTGCTGTTTCACAGAGATGACTTCACAACACCAAGCTGTCCCCCAGGGCTGAGGGGAAGAGCCTAGCATGTCACCTCCACGCACCAGGCTCAGCCTCTCGTGACACTGGGATTTGTGTCGCTTTCTGGCTTACACAGAACTCTGCGCAGCTGGAGCATTACTGCCTGTTTTATCCCAGCTGGAAGGTGCCTGCAGACTCTTCTTCTTACCATCAACTTGTGTTCTTCAGCCTTCTTCCAGCGTGACAGCGTGCTGGGAGGGGCCAGGTGGCAGCTGAGGGCGCTCCCCAGATCCTTCTGTTCATTCCCCTGCCCCTTGTGAGGTTGCCCTGAGTCCTTAGGTTAAGGGGATGGGCATAATCTCACAGCCAAACAATGAAATAACGCTCATTAATTCAGGCTTCACTGCAGGAATATGATCATCCACGGGAACTAAGCCTTCTGAAGTGCAGTGAGTTAACAGCGCAAACAAGCCACACTTCCCTCGCCCCCCAAGCCCAGAAGCTGGCCCGAGTGGCTGTTGACGTCCTGTTTGAAAATGAGTCTCACAGGAATAGGGGTCAGACCTCAAGCAGGATACAAGCAGGCAGTTCGGGCCTTGGAAAGAACAGAGCAGCTTCCTTTGAGAGGGGCTCTGGCCGTGCTGGAAAGCAAAGCTGTAGGCTTAGAGGCAGGCGCTGAGTGCGGTCCCAGCCCCGCTGGGGACCAGCTGCGTGAGCCAGGCTGAGGCACGGCAGCATCGCACCTCGCTGGCCGCCAAAATGGAGGTGGATCACACTGGGGTTCTTCAGCTGTGTCCCATGGAGGGCTCTAGAGGTTCCTTGACTGTACTGCAACGGAGTGGGGCTCTCAGGCTCTACCCACTTCACCCTGTGCCTCTGCACTCTGCTCTGTTTTACATATTAACCTTGTCTTTACTGTGTTGCTTGAAGAATTGCACTACCATTTGTAAAAAGTCCCTTGGACTTGATGATGTCTGCATAAACTCCAACTTGTCATCGGGGGTGCCCTTCACAGCTAGGATTCCTGCTGACCTCCCACGTCAGACCTAACACCACACATACGCCAGGATGAGCATCCCCTGAGCCTACCAGGCCACCCGGCATGAACAGAAAGGGACATACACTGGGGGCTGTGTCATTTCTACCTTCCTTCTGTCACTTCTGAAAAAAGGACACTTCTGACAAGCTGTCCTTCCCCGGCTATAGGATTTACCTGGCCCCAAACCCCACACACCTGTTCTCAGTGCCTGAGAGGCCCAGGGATAAGGGAGACGGGGTGCTGGTCCTATTCTGGAAGCTTGTGCCTGGGGAAGAAGGGGTGGCCAGGCTGGCTATCCGCCTTCCTGGGAAGTGTAACCCGTGGGGAGCTCACCTGTCAACTGGGTTCTCGCTGCCCTCTCGAGAGTAAGTTATAACTGACCCAAGGTGTAATCCCACGTCCTGAGGAAATTCAAACCTGCACCAGGGCTTCTGGTAATCCTCAAGAGGCTCTGAACGCTTGTTTCCTTGTTTATGGATTACTGTGCTGTCAGCTGTAGGTGGTCCTCGTTGCAAGAACTCAGCTCATCCGTCCATCTCCCCGGTCCCCCTTCCCCACTGCCACAAGGACGCACCCGCCTCTCACACAAGGTATTTGTGAGTCTAGTAGGCTATGCTGAAGAGAAGGTTTGGCAATGAAAACGGCGGAAGAGGCATTTAAATCACAGAAGTGTGAACACTGCCTCATTGAATGCTGGCTCCTGTTTTCCCAAGCCTTCGAGACACCCCATCTTGCTATCCCCGGAGACGGGATTGTTCACCACTGTCTCTTGACACTGTAGGACCCAGACTTTCACATCTTCTCTCTCCTCTGCACTCTCCCATCAACCCTCCTCCC